CTGATCTTATCAGTACCTTTTGGTTCAGCAGAGAAGTCCAATATCCGACCTATCATTTGTTGATTTCAAGCTCGGAAGCATCTTGAACACGAGATTTCGCCCACTGGATGGAACATGCGGGAATAAAGGAAGTCTCTTCTGATTCAGTGAGAAGGGAGAAGACTGCTGCCCAGGGCGAGCACACCTGGTTCGACCGCGTGTGTGCACTTCGGCCATTGGAGGGCTGTTTAAGTGTCCTGTGTAGAGATCAGGTCTCAGAAGTTTCAGCAAGCTGACAAAGTGGCCATTCTTCTGCTGTACCAGCTTCAGGTCTTCAGATGAAGTTACGCGAAGCCCAGGATTTGGAGCACGACGATGCTCCGACCGACGAGGGACAGAAGATGCTGGTCCCATTAGGGGCATTTGTTGGGACTTTTCTGCAGCCATCTTACCTTCCTCAGACCTTCCAAGTGAGCCTTTCTCACCAAGATGCTTGGGTGGAGCCAGCTCAGGATTGTGCCTGTCAGCCTGCTGAAGTTCATCCGCAGCAAGTGCTCTTTGGTGGCAGCAGGCATGCAGGCACAACCAAAATGACCCGGGGCAGCACTCGCGGGCATTGGATGTTGTGTGAGGCATTCACATCAATGCGAAGATGGACTTGCAGCTACGCAGGACTGTCACCTCATCAACCTGGAAAGGTTGTCTACACTTTGGCAAAAAAAAACGCATGAAGGTTTCGTCTAAGATTAGTCCAGCCAGGAAGCTGCTCGATGAGCCCGTTTTCCTCCTGCGCTTCCCGCAACTTGGGCACTGTGTCCGAGGTTTTGGGGTTTTGTCCATCATTGGTCATAAACGGCGGCACAAGGATTATCACGATGGACTTTATTTATGTGTGTGTTTGTTTGTCTCTGTGTCTTCGCTGTTGGCCCTGCCTTTTTCCTGGGGACTCTGTTTTCTTCTTTTTGTGTTTTCTTGCTTTATGCTTCCAAACCTCCGCTGGTAGGCCTGCTCTTGCTGCTGGTATCAATGCTAAATCTGAAGCCCCCTCATTAGTTGATGTTGATGGATGGTGATGGTGATGGTAATGGTATACATGACAATACTGACAGTGGTGACTGCCACTTCAAGAGCAATTGCGACTTCAACGTTTTCTTACATCAGAAGCACCCTACCATCATCTTACGGCCAGCAAGTGTAGCTAGCTCACCAGAACCTTTGCGTCATCGTCATCAATCACTCCGCCTCCTGATCTTGCTGCTGTCCCGCGCTCTCCTTCTCCCCCTCCTCCTGCCCTCCTCCTCTCCTTCCGCACAGCTGAACAATATGTTTGAGGCCCCCAAAGCAGTAACTGCTCAAAAAATACAGTATGTGAGGCCTCCAGGAACCCAGAAAGCTGCGTTTCGCTGAGAAAAACACACCAAAATAGATGGGAAACAAAAGCACAACAAATTCCACGACTCGAAGCCTGACACATCCACAAGCCATTGCCAACGGCCGAGGACGTTGGTTCTTCGCTGCTGGCTGTCATTGTTGCAGGCGCCGCTTCCTCTACGCATGACGTTTGCGGCAAAAACAAGGTTGCCGTCTTTGTTTTCTCTAATGTGTTGTGCATCTTTATAAGAATTCAATGTTTCCATGGCCTATACCTTTCTAATATTGGTGTTGGCTGTTACTGCTGCGGAATGCATGAACTGCATTCGTGACAGCATCAGCACAAGAGCAACGAGAGCTCCAGTTGATCCACTGCTATTCTGACTGCTAGTACGCTTTCAGTTTTGTTTTTTTCTATCCTCGCCATGCTGGCCGTTGCATGCCATTGCCTTTGCATTGCTTTTGCAACGGCAAGATTCATTCTTGAGCAGGCAACTTGCGTGAATTTTGCTCAAGGTAGGAAGTTGCATTTAGATGTCGGTTTTGAAGGTATGCTCGCAATTTGCTTGGATTTTTCATTGTCCTTACTAGGTATCTGGAACACACTACATGGATGCTGTCCTGGCAGGTGATTGCTGAGATCAAGAAGCACGACCAGCACGTGTCTTCAAGAAATTGGCTGCATTCACTTGCTCTAGCCATGACTCAGGCTTGAAATTCGCATGTATCCCGATTGCCGATCTTCCTCGATGTATTTCTTGAAGACTCTGCTGTTGCTCGCTCTTGGCATGAAATTCGGCAATGTGGCCAGCAAGACCAGTGTAGGTTAGCATGTATTCTGCTCGGTTGTGGCTGGTTGGCTTCAAGTTCGAAACGGCGTGGCTTGCATAACCTTTCATGTTTTCAAATGTCCCAAAGCTGCAGTCAAGGCGCAACTACGAGAATTCCTCGACCGCACGGTTGAGCTCGAGGGCTTCCAAGGCCAGCATCGTAGCAGAGCATTATGCAAAATGAGAGACAGTGATTGCTTGCGATGTATTTTGATGTGGGCTAGAGGCTAGATGTTGTTTGGCGTCCGCCTGCCGAGCTAATCGTGCTAAGAGGGTCGAGATTGTAGAAGGACAGTTCTCGGCACTAGCAGAGCTGTTTGCAGTGGCCAGGTCTGGACGAAAGGCAACACGCATGGCTTTGAGCCACCAGCCACGCTGCGGTTGAATATCTTGTCTAACGTAGACCCAGCAGTGCAAAAGTCAAAGGCTCAAATCATGTTGGCTGAGTACATTGCCACCAGCCAGAGCTCAGAAAGATTAGCCAAAATCAGGATGGAAGGATTCAACAGCAGCTGGCATTATGCGGCTGCATCTTAAATGACTGGGAACACTGCCCAGTTCGCCGTGGCCAACAGAAGCAACATGTCTACCTCGATACGGGCCCATGTTTTGGAAACCTCCCTCCATTTAACGTTTGAAGATCTCCCGGTACAGAGAGCAATAGCCCTAACCGACACTGCATGACTTTGCTCACTGCTTCCTTCCAACCTGCCAGAGAAGTGCAAAGTAATCTAGGAAAACACTGAAATTGTTCATCGTCAAGGATCCTACTGGTAGTGCATCCCTTATTGTTTTCGCATTA